AATTGCTGTACTGTACTCGGGCAATCTAGAATAAAGGGGTTGATCATTTACTATTCAGGTCAGGAGAAATTACTTCACACAGAGGATTATGAATTATTGGAATTCTCTACCCAAGAGGATTATGGATGTGTTACTGTCAAGTATACTCAAGTCTGAGATAGACAGATTTTGGTCTCTCAGTGAATTAAGGAACAGGGGTGCAGATAGGGTTCTGGCAAAAAGTCAGACATGATCGTCCTGGTGGAACAGGTGCAAGGGCTGTTTGGTTTAGTCCTTGTGACCATCTAAAACACATGCCACCTAAAACCCATGGCCTTTCACAACAGTATGCCACTCTTCTGCTCCTTTACCCATCTCACGTGGTCCCTCATGTCTCTGTACGAAATTATGCCAATCTATAATTCCACTCACCACCCACTCCCCTTCATCTACCATGTCAACACATCTAGTAACCATTCGCACCCACGCACACAAGAGAAAGAAAGTAAAGTTCTATATTGCAGATTACATTCTCATGAGAAATGCACTGTTTTTTGTAAAAGCACATTTGAACAATTCTTAATAGATATTACAGTTATTGATAGTTTGGACAGTTCCAAACAGTTTATAAGAACGTAAGAACTAGGCGCAAGAGGAAGCAATTCAGCCCCTTGAGGCTGCTCTGCTATTTGATCATGGCTGATCTCATCTCAGCATCAACTCCATTTTCCTGCCTGTTCTCCATAACCCTTAAAATCATTACTAATTAAAAATCTGTCCATCTCTTCCCTAAATTGATTTTGTGTCCAAGCATCCACCACACTCTGGGACAATGAATTCCACAGATTCATGACCCTTTGAGAGAAGTAATTCCTCCTCATCTCTGTTTTAAATCTGCCAGTTGTTAGCCTGAAGCTATAACTTCTCATTCTAGATTGCCCCACAAGGGGAGTCATCCACTCCATGCCTACTTTGTCAATCCTACTTTAGTGTCTTATATGCCTCAATTAGATCGCATCTGATCCTTCTGAACTCCAGTGAATATAGGCCTGAATTGCTCAATCCTCCTCTTAAGACAGGTTTATGCCCCTTTTAAGTACAATTGTCTCTATGCTTAACAATTTGAATGGATAACTGATGTCCTCAAGAGTATTTGACATTACCTAAAGGGTACTTAACTCTCACCTTGCACCTCCCCACCCCAATTCAGTTCCCAGACCATATCCATCATAATATCCTACCTCCCCAAAAGGGTATATTGCCAATTTAAATGAATCTACAAAGTTCAGACTTGCACTTAGCAGATTTGAATCTAGGTTCCAAACTACAAGAATGCCAAAATCCAACTTCAGTGGAGCAGCTGGTGATTGAAATGGCCAGCTGCCTTTGCAAAATGTACATATGTCTGACACAACTCCAAAACTGCTATGAAATGTGAAAAGCTGTATTCAGGAGTGGAACTTACGATTTCAGGTCATTGCTTCCATTGGACGTTCTCTATCTGGGCAAACATTAAGGCCTTCTGTCTGAAAAACAGGTCTCCCGGCCTTAAGATTACTCATTAGCAGTTCACCTACTCTTCTTGTTCCATGCTTGAAAATCATTCCTGTAAAACCTAGAATGACACTGAACGAGACCATTCTGCCCAACATGTATGTGCTGGGTGTTTGATAGAACTATCAAATAGTCCCAGATCCAAATCATTTCCCCAAAATCCTGCAAACTTCCATTACTTGCAAACCTTTACAATTTCACAACAGTTTTTTCTTTCCTGTGAATCTCACATAACTAAATTGTGTTTTCCCTTGTATAGAGAAATAGTGACTGCTAAAGCCCACAGCATTTTCTTTCCAGTCCTTTCCAGTAGATTACTGGAAGCCATATATTTATTTGTATTTCCGATCTGTCTGTCTGATGGCTCAGTGCCAGGTTTTCTGCTCACTCCACTGAAATTTACAGTTCTTTGATTGCCTTCTTTTTGGCTTTCTAAACTTCTTGATATCTCTTCCATATCTCTCCCTCAGTTGCCTCAAGCAACCTCCATCATTAAAGAAAATGCAGAAAGAACTTGCATTTATATAACATATATAATGACCTCAAGATTTCTCAAAACCCTCCTTTTACACTAATGCAAAATTGCCTAGTTTCTGTGCCATAGACACTAAGAAATTAAAGTTGCAGATTCTGCTGTACATTTGCCTGCTTTTCAGGCAGAAGCTGCAATCTGCAGGCTCTGATGAAATTCAGAATGACAAACAATGCACGTCACTGGGCAGAACAATCGCAGATGAAATTCAATACAGACATGTGTAAAGAGCTGATCACTGGAAAGCAAAATATCCATTGCATGCATTCCAAGTTTGGTGTTAGCAGAGTTAAAGATGAAGCTAAAAGAGATCAAGGCATCTCAGCAAATGTAATTGACAGCATTTCCAAGGCTGAGGAGTCATGAACAATGCCATCAGAATGTTGAGCTACGTAGCCAAAATTGTAGAATGGAGGTCAGAAGATGTTGTGATTGAAACACACTGGTCGCACCACACCTTAAAAACTGCATCTAGATGTGGCTGCCAAGATCCCAACAAAAGTATTCACATGCTGGAAGCACTGCACATTAGAACCACAAGGCTTAGCCGAAAGTCAGGGATCTGAATTCTGGGGAAATACAGAATGTACAGGTACAAACTGTTAAAAGGTAATTATACAATTGATATCAGGAAATTTTATTCTGTTTATGTGTCCAGGTAAAGCAATAGATGAAAAGAGACAATTAGATGCTGCAATGGGAACACTTTTCTGGACAGACTGCTTTCTCATCCATAAGAATTTGATGATCTACTATGTAATAGATCAATAATATTTTCCATGCTTAGGCCAAGTTGAGAGTTTCTATTGGTGTTGCACATTAAATATGCTTGGTTTACAGGGGAATCAATCTGTCTTGAGGGTTCCTTATGACCGTGCAATATTAAATTTGTCTGGTTTGTGAGCAAACTTTGCTTGCAAATGAAAGAAGGGCATTATCTGATGGTCCCTGATAAAAATGTAAAAATATAACTAACAAAATATGTTAGATTTGCTGGTCATCTAGGCAGACTACAGTTGGTGAGTTTCAACTAACTGCACAGGACTTTCAACATTAAAGAAATACCGAGAATGGACTTAGGATCAAATAAAATTGGATATACTGTCATTTATTGCAGCATGTAGACTTTTTTAAGAATGGGTTACAATTTTAAACTACCAATGACTAAAATTTGACTGCCACGAAAGTATTTCAAACTTGATTTGTTTCAAGGCAGAGAGGTCCTGTGTCTCACCATCAGATTACATAGATGAGCTGGGACTCATTGTTAGCCTATTCATTTCTGAGTCAGAAAGTTGGGAATTCAAGCCCCAGCAAAGATATCTGAGTAAATAATATGCAATTTTAAAAGCTGATCAAGCTGGGAAGAAGGCATCCTGTGCTTGTTTTCAATACCATGCCTGGTGATGTTTTATACCCTACTGTGAGAGCAGATAGAGCTTAGCTTTAAGGCCTTGTCTGAATGACAGTGGCTGTTGAGAGCAATATTCCCGTAGTGCTGTACAGAAGTGTCAGGTGGATGTAGCTGACAGTAGACTGTCACTAGATACTCTGAACATTTATTCCTCAACCAATATCTTTAAAAATCAAAATACCTGGTTATTTATTTCATTGCTGCTGGTGATCTCTACATAGACAAATTGGCTGCCATGTTTGGGGAGTGGCTACAATTCAAAAGTACTCTGTAAAACATTTTGAGATGTCTTGATGTGATGACAGGTACATTTCAAATGTCAGTCATTTCTTCCTAAATGTCTGGTTTTCAGGAAGAAGGCATTTTAGAACATCTGTTCACAGTACTGGGATAAAGGATCCTCAGGTCCTATAACCAGTATTCGTAAAGATTTCCTCTGTTGTTAAACACATCATTATGCCTTGTAAAATACTAATGATATTCTAACCTCCTGGGGGTTACCATTGACCAGAAACTGAACAGGACTAGTGATGCAAATACTGTGACCGTGAGAAGATCAGAAGCCTTGAATCTTACAATTAATTTACATCCTGATTTCTCAAAGTCTATCCACCATTTACAAGTCATAAGTCAGGATACGATGGCATACTCCCCACTTGCCTCCATGAGTGCAGCTCCAAAAACATTCAAGAAGCTTGACACCATCCAGGACAAAACAACACACTTGATTGGCACCATATCTACAAAGTTCAGTCCTTCAACCACAATACTCAGTGGAAGCAGTGTGTACTATTTACAAGATGCACTGCAGTAATTCACTAAGGCTTCTTACAGAGAACCTTCCAAACCCTTGACTACAACTATCTAGAAGGGCAAGGATGAGAGATCCCTGGGAACACCACCATTTGCCAGTTCCCCTCCAACCACACACCATCCTGACTCGGAAATACATCACTATTTGTTCAGTGCCAAAATCCAGGGAACTCCCTCACTAATGGCATTGTACCAAACAGACTGCAGCTGTTCAAGAAGGCAGCTCACCGCCACCTACGTTACCTATAAATTTCCAACTTCTGAATTTGGTAGCCAATACGAGTTGGCGTGCACAGACTCTCTGAGCAAATTTGTGACTACTTAATGGGGACATTGCTCACCGCCACCTTCTGCAGGGCAAATATGGATGAGCAATAAATGCTGACCCAGCCAATGAAGCCCACATCCCATGGGTGAATAAAGATATTTTCTAAAAAGAGTCAACAAGGTGCTAGAAATAGCTAAGAAAATGTGGGTTGGGTTTGTCTGTTTTGCCAGGCAAAGGGTTCATTCTAACAGAGGTGCTGCTGATTGAAGACAGCATTTTACCTGGCTCGGGCTGAGAGTTCCTGCTTCCTATAGAGAGCACAATGTTTAGACTTGCCTGGTGAAGTGCTCCTACTATGGGTAGGTAGAGGGCGCGCGGTCTGTTGAGTTCCCTGCTAACCTGCTTGTGCAATCCCCACCCATCTGCCAAAGCCACAGAAGTGGGCGGGAGGCGCAGCTCTCAACAAACAAGAGTGTAGCGAGAGAGAAAAACACTCTGATCTTTATCTTTAGACATTTTGTTGGTTTTGAGGCACTTTAGAAAATGTGTCAGTGCCAGCAGAGTGGGGGCTTATAGCTCTCCAGCAGATTCATGGGTAATGATGACACCAAACATTGCCACCTCTGTGCCTGTTGTTAAATGTTATGTGTGTGCTTTCTTGTTTTTTTTTAAGAAAAGCGTTAACGTAGCCGGTAAGGAATAGCCGTGGGGTGAAACCAGAGACCTCTCTGCCTGAGCCGCGGAGGCTTGTGGCAACCAATTGGAGGAGTGACTTGTACCAAGTGACAGCTGAGTCAGTGGGATCTTTGTTGGAGGAAGAGTTGTTAGCGCCGAGTGAGATTGTCTTTTGTTTTCATATATCTATATATATTACATGCATGTGTCTGTTTATGTATGCACTTTGAAAAAATGGCGACAAGAGTAGGCGGAGGGTACCCCATGAACCCAGGGAGCCCCCTGAATCCTTCCTTGGGGGTGATGCCAGGACAAGCGGTCAGGATGCCACTAAACCTCCAGCAGCAATCTCCAGTCTTCCGGACGATGGGTCCCGGCGGCGCTTACAACGTGAGTAATCACCTCCAAACCCCACTGCTTCACCAGCAATGCAAAACTTTCCAACTTCTGCCCTTATTTATCTGCACCGATCGATCGGAAAGCACTGAAACCGGCCCCAGAATCAGAAAGGAAACCACCGTTTGATCTAGTCATCGATTTTCCCCCTTTTTCTGTAATTATGTTTCTTAACCTCCTTGTAATTAAATACTTTACGCGGCGGCGTCACATGAGATTAATCTTTAATGTAGTTTTTCTTTAAAAAAAACATGTAGTTTAGACACGACACGTGCAAGAGATATGAAATAGCTCTAAAGGTGACTGTTTTTTTGTTGAATAAAAGAGTTACTTGCTGTTTTCTCTCTGGTGTTGGTCAAATTGGGAAGGAGCTGACCCCAAGCAGACACCTAGCCCTCTTGCTTTGCTGGTTGAAATTTCACTGAAACTCGGCCTAAAAGCTCCCTCCCGATCCTCCCTGCTGAATTATTTTGTGTGTGTGTGTGTGTTGTTGTTCCCGTTTCGCTTTACTTCCGCATTCAGTGTCGCATCCAGAAACCTTGTTCCGCGATCGCGGAGACTCGGCGCTTGGTCCCCCCCCCCCCCCCCAACGGAACCCCGGGGTCTCCGCCTCAATCTGCAGCCTCGCCGGCCCCCCTCTACCCCACCAGATCACTGCAGAAATACCCACCCTCCCACCTCCCGGACCATGGTCTTACACGTGGTCAGTACTGTAACAGAGGAGAGGCACATGAGCGCCATCACATGCCTCCTATTGTAGGGCCACTGGGAGGTTGGGGAATATGGATTGTAGAGACCAGGAGCATGTGGGGAACCTCGATTATAGAGAGAGGGGGAGTAGGGGATCTGGTTTATGTAGACAAGGGGAAGGTTCTGAATTGCAGGGGCAAAACATGTAGGAGAACTGAATTGTACAAGTGGGGGATATATCTGGATTATAGGTACGGGGCGACTAGAATTATAAAACTATAAGAAATAGGAACTGGATTAGGCTGTTCAGCCCCTCCTACACCATTCAGTAGGATCATAGCTGAAACTTAATTCCTCAGCTGTACTTTCTTGCGTTTTCCGTGTAACCCTTGATTCCCCGACTGATCACCACCCTTAAATATACACAAGGACTCTGCCCCACAGCTGTCTGTGGCAAGGAGTTACAAAGACACACTCACCATTGAGAGACGAAATTCCTCCTCCTCTCAGTCCTAAATTGGTGCCCCTTTGTTCTGAGGCTGGTCCTGGACTCTACCATGAGAGATAACATCCTCAGTATTTACCCTGTCAAGCCCCTTAAAAATCCAGTGTGCTTCAATGAGAGCACCTCTCATTCTAATGAACTGCAAGGAGTGGAGGCCCAACCTGTTTAGCCTTTGCTCATAAGACAGTCCCTCCAGATCCCCTATGCCCCCTCTCTCTGTAATTGAGGTTTCCCACATGCTGCTCATCTCTACAATCCAGATTCCCCACCTCCCAGTGGCCCTATAATAGTCTCATCCTAGGGAACCTTCTTTGAAATGAGGCTGATTTAGTTTGGGAAACTTGGTCAGTGTGGACAAGTTGGACTAAAGGATCTGTTTCTGTGCTGTCTGAATCTAGGACTGTATGATTCAAGAGACACAGGCTATATGAGAGATCTGAATGATGGGGACAAGGAATGTTGGGGATCTGGATTATAGAGACGGGGCAAATAGGGGCTCTCAATTATGAGGACAAGGGATAGGGGCTCTGTCTTACAAGGACAAGCACATATAAAGTATTTGAATTATGGGTGAGGAAAATAGGATATCTGGATTTTAGGGAAGGGGAGACTGGAATTAGAAATGCGAGCTGTATCATGGTCTGTGTTATAGGGGCAGGTTGATATAGGGGATCTGAATTATAGCCTGAGAGGGATTTGGGAAGTCCAGTATTCAAATTATTAGAACAACACCAAAACATATATGTGAAATACAGCTCATCACATCTTTCTGGGCTGGGGAATTCTTTTAATCAGACCATTTTCATCTTGGTCTCCAACCATCTTACTGCCCATGTAGAAAGATTCTCCTTCACTCCAGGTATCTTTGTCACAACGCTAATAATATAGCTGTGTTTCTAATTCCGATTTCCCTGTTCCAATAATCCAGATATCTGATATTCCCCACTTCTATCATTCAAATACCTTGTATGCCTGTGTCCTTGTCATAACAAGGATTTTTATTTGAAAAAAAATGTTATTTGATTTATCAACCTTTCTTCAAATAGATCTATAATGTTGGTTAAGCATAACCTTCCTTGAGAAATTCATGTGGACTCGACCTGATTGACTCATAGCTTGTTTTGTAATTTCATCTCTGTTACAGACTAGTAGTTTATCAACTGAAATACAATGAACCAGCCTCTCATTTCTTGCATTTAAACTTGCTTCCTTTTTGAAAAGTCATGATTTCTGAAATAAAAGTGCAAAATTGAGGAAACACATAGCAGATCATACAGCATTAGTCGGGTGAGAAACAGAGTTAACGTTTCATATCGATTTTGTCGGCGGAAAATGTTTAAGATGTGTATCAGGTTTTAAGAAAGTACAGAGGTAGGAGAAAGTTGAAGGAATAGAAGGATATGATCTCTGATAAGGTGGAAGGCAGAAGAGATTAAATTACAAAATGGGTGATGGAACAATTGGATGAGAATGGGATATATGTAAAGGAGTAAATGATGGCCCTAAAGGAGGTGTTCCTGGGAATAACAGATTCAAAATGACAGAATGCTGATGGCTTGGTGTTACATATGCAAACCAAAAGGAAAAGTTCTGCAAAGCAGTCACCTAGTCTCCCCATTGTAGAGGAGAAGCAAATGGAGAAACATGAATAGCAAATAATTTATATATAAAATTTGATGAAGTTTCACCTGGATGGACTGTTTGGGCCCCTGACTATTGAGGAGAGGGTCAAAGGAAAGATGGACATGTGCTTTGGGAAAGGGAGGGAGGGTAGGGAGTAACTGATAAGTGGGCTGCTGGAGTGGAGGAAATCAGGGAGGATGATTTGTTGTATATGGGGGATGGTGAGATGGAAATAACAAGAAGAGCCCTATCGTGATTTTTTAAATTCATTCACGAACTGTGGGAGTTGTTGACTCGGTCAGCATTTATTGTCCATCCCTAACTGCCCTTGAGAAGATGCTGAAGCACCTTCTTAAAGCACTGCAGCCCATGCGGGTAATGATACCTACAGAACTGTTAGAAAGGGAGTTCCAGGATTTTGATCCTGTGACCCTAAAGGAATTGCAATGTAGTTCCAAGTCAGGACAGAGTGTGAAATGGAATCAGCAGGTGGTGATGTTCAATTGCATCTGCTGCTGTTGTCCTTCAAAATGGTAGAGTTTGCAGGTTTGCAACATGCTGTCGAAGGAGCACTGATCTGTAGGGGTGTTGTGCATTTTGTAGTTTGTGCACAGTGCTGCTACTGTGCAGCAGTGGTGGAGAGAATGAAACGTGAAGGTAGTTGATGGTGTGTCAATTAGCCAGGCTGTTTTGTCTTCAATGGCATCCATCTTTTGAGTATTGTTGGGGTTTGAAGGCAGGGCAAGGTTGACAAGAAAAATGTCAAATAGAAAAGAGTGACTTGTCAACTACAGTAGTAGGAATTCTACCTTTTCGAAGAGCCGTGTTAAAAGGATGATATCAGAAACTCTAAAATGAAGCCGATATCTTCAGAACAGATGCAACAATGATGGAAAAATCAAGAGGATGTAATCAAGTCCTAGGAATCTAAGTAAAAGGAATTGAAGTCAAACTAATGATGAGAATCAGTTGTCTTATAGTGGATGTTGATTGGTGATGGTCTATCCACAGGATTGAGACAAACAAGTGAGGAAAGTGCACAGTTGGAGATGGATCATGTGAAGGTGAGAGAAGAGTGGTCATTGGAAACAAACTTGTTAAAATAGTCTTACTTCACAATGAGAGCAGGAAACAGAACCAATATCCTAGAGAAAAGCTGTCAGGGAAGATACCTCAGTATAGGCATAACAATGTGTTCTACACGAAAAGGAAGGGACAGCTAGTTCTGATAAAGGTCCCTATAACAGCACCTTTTATTTGGAATAAGTATTGTTTCAACAAAACTTGTTACAGTTATGAGGTTTATAAGGTTATTTTAATTTGGGATTGTATCTTTAAGGTAAAATGAAGATGATTCATGTGACTTGTTCTGAAGTCTTCCTGACATCGAAGGCTAGATGGTTTGGTTGTTCAAAATATTTCAAGACTAGGAAGAATTAGCAAGGTATTTGATTGATTTATTGTCACATGTACCAAAATACAGTGAAAAGCTTTGTTTATGAGCGGTACAGACAGATCACAGCAAGCAGAGGATGTACAAGTCAAAAAGACTTAGAGGCATTAAGGTTACATTGCAGGTTACATTATTTGAGGCTAGAGTCTGATAATGGCCAGAAAGAAGCTGTTCCTGAACCTGCTTATGTGTGTGTTCAGAATACTGTATCTTCTGCCTGACAGGAAGAGGTTGTAGGAGGTCATTACCAGGGTGCAACGGGTCTTTGATGTTGGCCGCCTTTCCGCAGCAGTGAGCCGTGTAAATGGAGTCCATGGATGGAAGATTGGCTTCCGTGATGGTTTGGGCTGTAGTTTCTTACGATCCTGGGCAATTTACACTGGTAGAGAATGGAAGCAACCTGTTTGCTAACAACAGATAGACTGAAAATGTCCATAGTACCAGCAAAGTGTTGAGAATATCAGATTGTAAACTATTGTCCTTTAAACTATCATTTTTTTTTCCCAGATGAAAGGATGTTGGGCTGTCAAGGACAGCTAAGCAACATTTGTACCTGGATGCAAGGTCCATGTGATTCACATTGCCATAGGAATGGGCTTTGGGAATGTTGTAGGTTTTCCTAATTTATAGTTGTTTGTCACAGACAGGTTAGTTTGCCAGAGCCCAGGAGTGAGAGAGCAGCAAGAGGCTGAACATCTCTCTGGTTTACTGCATGGAAATGTGGCTGGAGCTCATACTCAGATTGGAAGGACTAAATTTGTGTGGTGTTACAACAAAGCTGGAATGTTTGCAATCACAACAAGAGGGAAATATTTCAATGCAGCGAGTGGTAAGGATCTGAAATGCTCTGCTTGAGCATGTAGTGGAGGCAGGCTTTCGAAAGAAAATCAGGTAATAGTTGAAGAGAAAAGCATGCAGGGCTATGGGGCAAAGACAGGAGATCCAGGTGAGCTGTTCTTGCAGAGAGCTGGCACAGACCCAACAGGCTGAATGATGACCTTTTGTGTTGCAACCATTCTGTAATTGTGTGATTCTGTACTTGTTTCGCCCACTTATAACACTTGCCAAGAGACTGATGGGACAGTTTAATGATGGGCTGTGATAATACCGTAAACTTATAGAACCAAATTAAAGTACCTCACACAAAGGCATAAAGCTGAGCAGGTTGTTCGATTGTCATAATCGGGAAGGACACATAAAAAATTACCACCATCGTTCCATTTTCACCTCTGCCTGGGACTTCTGTAAAAGCTCTTGTCTATTAGAGTTAGTAAGTTGCCTGCTTGTTAAAATGTAATGTATACTTTCCTGATTTCCCCTCCTTCCTCTTTCTCGTCACCCCAGCGAGGAGGGATGCCACCAGGAGCTCGCATGGGAATGCCAGGAATGCAGATGAGCATGCCATCTGGCTCATCTTTCATGGGCAACCCTTCCATGAGACCAGGTATTCCGCAGCCAATGATGGACCCGTTCCGGAAACGTCTGCTTCCACAGCAGCAGCCTCCACAGTTGATGCAGAATCGTGGGAGAGGGTAAGAAACTGGAAATGTGCACCAGGTCCCTGGGTACAGAAAACAAAGCATTTATTCACTGCTTTCAGAGAGAACAGCCAAGTTCATGGAATGCTTTAATATTTATAACTTGGAGCTTCCCCAGTGTGTCTGCATTTATCCAATGCATACATGAGTCACACACAACCAAAAGGTTCCAGCCTGATTGCCACGTCTATGTCAACCTGTCTGATCTTAGAATTGGCAGTGGTACGGTAGGACAGTTGGTTTGCTTCATTAGGATTTTGAAGGAGAAAATTGGCTGAGCTTTCTGTTCCTGACTGCTATCCAATGACTGCCACAATACCCTTGGAAAGAAACAACTATCTATAGAACACTGGCCCAGCAGGGCATCAGTTCCATAAGAGAGAAGGGAACAAAAGAGACAAAAAATTGTCAAAAAAAGAGCAAGCATGTAATCACTAAATCTAGAAGTAATGTTGAGTCAATTTCATTTTCTTTTGTGTGTATAAATTTAGGCTGGCTTCCACTGCAAAGCCACCTCAAAATGATTTGCCTCACTTTGCACTCTGGATAGATATCTCAGCATCTTGTGTCTCACTCCTGAAATGGAACTGAGCTGCAGCTGTGCTGGAACACATAGCCTCAGTAGGGTGTTAACGATAATGAAAACCCTAAACATACCTGCTTGTATGCTAAATATGTACCACTGGGGAGATTTTGGAGAGAAAAAAAGTCTTTCTTGTGGCCACGCTTAGCAAATCTCATTGAGTGTACAACCAATGGCACTAGAAACCCAGCTCTCCTCCTCGTACCTCAGGACCTTGCTGCTCTGTGAATATTCTATGAATAGTGCTGATTCTTGTGGAAAAGCTGAAAGGCTTGCTGTTTGAACTTCTGCATGTGGTGAGCCAACCCCTAAACTGCTTTTTTTCTAATGTGTGTCTCTCTCTCTCTCTTAAAGTACGGTAACCTGATTGGTGACCACGGGCTCTCAAATTGGTCAGTGATTTAGCATTGCCTTCTGGCAACATCTGTGGATAGAAAAGAGAGTTAACATTTCAAGTCCAGTGATTTTTCTTCAGAAATTTATTTATCTTTGTTCAGTAGTGAACTGTATATTGTACCGCTAAATTTAGCCCAATGGCATGGTAATACTCTGTGGTTTGAATGGATATTCTACAGCAACTTTTTCTCTGCTGGTCAGTTTCCAATGTAGCAAAGGGTATCATAAGCTTTATTCTAATTCTATATCAGTTGGTTGGATAGCTGGTTTGCAAAGCAGAGTAATGTCAACAGTGCGATTTCGAATTCCATACCAGCTGATATTACCATGAAGGACCCTTTACCTGAGGCATGGTGACCTCCAGTTAAAACACCACCAGTTGTCTCTCTCTAATGAGAGAGCAGCCCTCTAGTAAGACTACGGCGACTTTACGTTACTTGACAGCTATCTATAGAACACTGGCCCAGCAGGGCATCAGTTCCATAAGAGAGAAGGGAACAAAAGAGACAAAAAATTGTCAAAAAAAGAGCAAGCATGTAATCACTAAATCTAGAAGTAATGTTGAGTCAATTTCATTTTCTTTTGTGTGTATAAATTTAGGCTGGCTTCCACTGCAAAGCTACCCCAAAATGATTTGCCTCACTTTGCACTCTGGATAGATACCTCAGCATCTTGTGTCTCACTCCTGAAACGGAACTGAGAGCCTCTTTCTGAGAGGGCTTCCTCATTTTTGCTGATAAATCTAGTAAAATCTTGCTGTTCACGTATTCCCTATTTGCAAATTCACATACCCACTCATACCATTCTTTGCACCATATTACCATTGCTGTATCAACATTCACATATCATTGGCTGTCATGGGATACAGTATACACTTGCAGATTTCACCCCAGAAATGACCACTTTGTGTGAGAACGGGCTTTCTAAGACTTAACACTTCAGCTTTTGTTCAGTAGCTGAGAATTGGATTGCTCTGCACTTTTAGTAACCTGCCAGGTCACCAGAGACATTCAGGCAAGTCCCTTAAATGTTTCTGCTCAATGTGCAGCTACCCACTCAGCCTGGCATTCTAGCAGTTAGCATTGAATCTGTGCCTGAGATTTATATTTTGGACATGTTAATGTACTGTACTCCATTAGAAACACATTTATTTACGGAAGCAACGTTTGTAGATATCAAAATGTTGGATGGTTGGAACCTAAACAGCTGACTGCAATCATAAAACGTTTTCACTGTTCGCAAATTCACTGTTTGAAAGGTTTACCGGGGATGTATCCTCCACAGGCAGCAGGATTTTACTGCAAACAATAATTAAAGGAAATGTAAAATATAGTGGAATCAGATGGAGCAAGTACAAGTTCATATGTTCATTTGATGTTTAAAAACCATGAATGTATTCAATCAATCTTAATTGTTACCTAACACTGTCTCTTTGCTATCTGCAGTGTCAAGAGACGAAAGATGGCTGACAAAATTCTACCACAAAGGGCAAGTGTTGAATGCTGCTGATCTGTTTGCAGATATACATGTACAAGAATAGTTTCAGGGATGAGAAAGCTCATGTTCTCTTTGAAGAAAAATTGTGTAAGGGGAGATCTGATGGTAGTTTTCAAATCATAAGTGGGCTCGATAGAGTCGATAGGGAGAATCTGTTCCCGATTTTAAAAGTAACAAGAACGAGAGGGCATAGATTTAAAGTGATTTGTAAAAGAAGCAAAGACGATATGTGGAAAAACTTTTTCACTCTGAGAGTTGTTAGAGTATGGAATGCACTGCCTCGAAGTGGGGTGGAAGCAGGTTCGGTTGAGGTATTCGAGAAGCCAGTGCACAAATATTTGAATAAAAATAATGTGCATGTTATGGGGGAAAGAAGCAGGAGATTGGTATGAGGTAATGATGCTCATTTGACGAGCCAGCACAAGCATGATGGGCCAAATGGTTTCCTTCTGTGCAATAACAATTCTGTCATTCTGAGATCACCTGGCATGCCAAATGCAGGGCTACAAGGTCTCCTAATATCAGCAGATTTTTTTCTATTCCCCATGCTTCAGTTTACGTGGATGGCCCCACAGAAGGATGTCTTGGATTCAAATAGTGTCAGTGTCATGGCCTTGACCAGAGTCCCACATGGATAGATCTGACACCTTGTAACCTAACGGCAACAATGCTAAATACTTTTTGCAGTGGTGGCTGCAGTCCCACCTGTGTGGCATCCAGGGGGTAATTTTTCTACTGTTTGCAAATTTTAGGATTAAACTACAACCAAGTATAAAGCAGCAAAATGTGTTTTCTAGTTTTTTTTAATTAAACTAAGCAAGTGACAGAAAAGATGCCACATTGTGAGTATGAAGTCAGCTGTCAAAGAGATTACTTGTTTGGACAAGAGTCTTATCATTTTCTTTTTAATTGAAGCTGGTCTTAGCTCAACAACTCTCTACAATTGAAGATTTTATACCAACTCCAACAACAAGAAGTATTTTATCTCATTTTTGCATATCAAAACCCTTTATAGGTTTTAGAAAAAAATCTTCTATTAAAATGTCTCTTCACCTTCGAGTGCTTCAATGGAAATAGCCTCCAATATCTGGCCCAAGAATTAATCCACTCCCTCCCTCCATTCTACAATGGGGCATTCCAAGCTGCACATGGTAAGCTAATTGCACCCTAACAATTACCCTGTGCTCCATGCCTCCATATAAAAATCTAAAAGCTTTTAGCATCTTCAAGGAATAATATATTGGAACTACGGACTATGTAGCATCAATATTTCTCTTTGTTGTCTATAAATGGATCCCTGCATGTTTTTGAAATCTCAAATGAAAATAGTGTAAAATATTCACTCTTCTACAGTTATTTTGCTCCGTGAAAACACAGCAGTAAGCAACAGTAAATGAAACACTTCACAGGCAACAACAGAAAGAAATTAAAAACCAAAACAACTGCGGATGCTGTAAATGAGAAACAAAAACAGAAGTTGCTGGAAAAGCTCAGCAGGTCTGGCAGCATCTGTGAAGATAGAGAAATCTGAGTTAACGTTTCAGGTCTGGTTTCGGGTTCTGAGCAAGGGTCATTGGAACCGAAACATTAACACTGATTTCTCTTCGCAGATTCTGCCAGACCTGCTGAGCTTTTCCAGCAACTTCTGTTTTTGTAACAGAAAGAAATTTGTTACTGTATAGTTGTTCTTGTTTCAGTCCAAAGCAAATTCAATATGTTATTAACTTTTACTTTTCAGATCCGAGAACTTGTCCCAGAATCCCAAGCTTACATGGACCTCTTAGCTTTTGAGCGCAAACTGGATCAGACAATAATGAGGAAACGGCTGGAGATTCAAGAGTCTATGAAGAAACCCTTAATGGTACAGCACCTCAAAAGGCTCAATTCCATTACATGTTTTAAGATTATTAATTATCCTCCTGTTAGGCTTTAATAGATAATCTTCCATGTGTCATTCTCTCTTCTCAGTTTTGCATGGTCATGCTTCTTCATTGTGCATCAGTAGTGTCACCTAATTCTTCAATTATGTTTAACAAAATATATCACAAGACAAAGACCACATAGTCAAAACATTCACACAGTGATTTTTGAATGAGCTGACTTACTGGTAGTTCAATGTTCGACCAGATTAAAACATTTCCAGTAAACAGTATCTGCCTGTGCATCAGCTGTGCACCTCATGTGGGAGAGCTCATTTGCTGCCGACCACAAGGTTGTGAATTCAAGATTGGTCTCCTTTCCATCTACATTTGATCAGCTTTGAGTACCATCATTTAAGAGGTCAGGTCTGTAGACCCGCTGAAGATGGGATATCACTGTTCTTTCCTCAGTTGGAAGAAAAAGAGATTTTGATTAATCACGAATTGGCCTGGGAGCAGTCGTGGTCAAGTATTTGGCCAAAATTATCCTGACCAGAAGATCCTGGGTTGGAGTAGGTGATCTAATTTGGTTCTGTAACTACCTTGACTATACTTCTTCCCATCCACTTCCTGAAGATTATCTATTCCATTTTTCCAGTTTCTCTGTCTCTGTCACATATTTTCTGACAATGCTCCCATCCACACCAAGGCATCCAAAATGTCTTTCTTTTTCCTCAACTAAATATGTCACTCCAATAGAACCTCATCTCTGTCTGCCCATATCCTGCACCTTGGGTTTCACCTAATTCCCATTCCATCTGGAACAGCAATGTGTGGTTTCTCTGTCTTCTCCTTCCAGCCCATTAATCTCCAAATTCAACAGACCATCCTCCCTCATTTCAGCCACTTCCAGTGTGATGCCACCACCAGCCATGTTTTCCTGTTCCTTTTCAGCTTTGGGAAGGGGACATTCATACATTCACTCCACCACGTCCATGTCCACTCCTTACTCTTCCCCCACTGCTGGTTGCCTTTCTCACAACAGCTTCCTGTACAAGAGATGTCAGCTCTTGAACCTCCTCCTTTCCCTCTCTCAAAGGGCCCAAACACACTTTCTTGGTGAAACAATAACTTTCGATTTTATGTACTGCTTACAATATGGTCTCTTCTACCTAGGAGAGACCACAAACAGGGTGACAATGTAGCACCTCAGTTTAGATCTTGCTGTGATCCTGAGCATCAAATCTCATGTAATGTTAATCTTTCTGCTTCACTACCAGTCCCTCATCTCTTGACTACATACTTCACACCCTTCCAGTTTCAAAATTGAGTTCAACAATTTCAGATCAAAACTACTTCCTCATTCTTAAAGATAGCAGCTGCTGGCAAAAATTCCACTTTTCCCATTTACATCTTCGTTTGAAAGCACATTCTTATTCTTTACTGAACCCATTACTATTCCCTTATCACCATCACCTTTTTCTGTAATTTAATCTCCCTTTGACCTTTGTTCTTTTCTCCCGCTTTCTCTGCCTCTGCCTTAGTTTATGATGTCACGTTTCAAACATCTTGTAGTTCTGAAGAAAGGTTATCAACTTCAAAAGATTTAATCTCACAGAGATTACACACTGTTACCTAATTATCATTGACAGATGACCCCATTGGAAAGTTTCTGAGACACTTGGTGTTTTCTTCATTTCAGCAAAAGCGTAAACTAAGGATCTACATCTCTAACACCTTTGCTCCTGCCAAGCCGGAGGGCGATGAAGGAGAAACTGTTGCATCATGGGAGCTTCGGGTAGAAGGAAAGCTACTTGACGATGTGAGTGGGATTTTTCTGTCTTGCAGTTGGCTCCTGTACCACATGATGGTCTTAAATATATGAGTTAGAAAGATTGTCCTATTTGTTCCATTTTAATAAGTCCAAGAATGAGTATCTTTTATTTTTTTTCTTTATTTTTTTTCATTTGTGGAACGTGGGCGTCACTGGCTGGCCAGCATTTATTGCCCATCCCTAGTGGCCCTTCAGAAGATGATGTTGAGCTGCCTTTTTGAGCCACTGCAGTCCACCTGCTGTGGGTTGACCCACGATGCCATTAGGGAGGGAATTCCAGCATTTTGACCCAATGACAATGAAGGATCGGTAATTAATTTATTTCCAAGTCAGGATGGTGAGTGGCTTGGGGGGGGGGACCTTGAAGGTGGTGGCATTCCTGTGTATCGGCTGACCTTGTCCTTCGAGATGGAAGTGGTCTTGGGTTTGGAAGGTGCTGTCTGAGGATCTTTGTTGGAGGATCTTTGGGGATCTCACAGTAAAGCTATTGGAGGGCTTTGTATATTAGAGCTCTTTTAACTGAATACTTTAGATATACATGCATTTTATAAAAGATCTAACTAATAGCTGGCTAATTAGTTTACAGTGAGTTTAGTGAACACTTGGTACTAGGACACAGTATTGACTGTCCAGCAGAGGGTTGTAAGACTTCAGTCCAGTTGTCCAATTATGTCTAAATTGTAAATTGCAATACTATACTTGATAATTAGCAGAACCTCAAAACCAAATGGCAACAGGTATGTGTTATTTGCAATAAGGTATAATGTTTATTTGAATAGATTCATAAAATAAACCTAGTATATTTTGTAAAGCCATCTGAACGTAAAATGTCTGTATATGTTTGAAATGAATGACGTCAATTTGATTTGTATAACGTCTCACAAAATGGAAGTAATATTGGTGGAACAGGGCATGGGGATACAGTTTACCCATGCTACAAAACTGTAAGAGCACAGTAATTACAACCAACATATTTGATTCAGTGAGTTCCTTACCTTGGCCATGCTGACAGAGCAAGGCATGGAGCACGTCCTAAGCAAGATAGAGAGTATGGAAGTCTCACACTCAAATTCCCTTAGTGGCAGGTAAAGTGAGTAGGTTTGACTGGGTTTCATAGCAAGTTAACATCCCGCCTTGGCAGTATGGCCATTTATAAGCAGGAGTGTATTTAACCAGACAACTGAAATGGGTTGATTTTCCTTTCACAGCCTGGAAAAGTGAAAAGGAAATTCTCATCCTTTTTCAAGAGTCTAGTTATCGAATTGGACAAAGATCTTTATGGACCAGACAATCACTTAGTGGAGGTAAGACTGACTGCTTAGTAGTAATTGTGTTAAATAACAAGACAAGATCATTGTGTGATTTCCCCTCATTCCCAGGCTGCACAGGAAGCACTAATCTTGATAACCAGGAAACTTGCACTGCCAACAAAGTGTGATAATTATATAGAACCAGGCCACTGCAAACTTCTTTAAGACTAAGATTAAACACGCAGCATGGAGAGTAATATATCACAACAATCAACACAAAAAATGGGAAATGTGATATCACAAGCCAGCTAGCTTAACCAGTTCTATAGCAGGAGGCATATGTATTGCGACTGCCACTCCTTCATAACTCACCCATTCCCTGTGTACATTAAATATCAGTCACCACGACACATTTCATAATGTTCCCTGTTTGTTGGCTTTCACCACATTTGCTTTGCCCTGCATAAAGCTAATTGGATCGCTCTGTATAAGGTGCCAATGTGTTTGACAGCTGCTACTTACGTGTGTGCTAGTGAGTCCCATCTGTTCCTATTGTGGGAGGTGAGAAACCCTGTGTGTGTTTTTGAGACTGCTTCCCTCTTTTTTTTTTTCCCTCCGAGGAATCAACTGTTTCTTAGCAAAATTAATACTGCACAAAAGAGCTGGCAGCCCCAAGCTGTGCAACATATTCCTTTTGTTCATGTGTGTGGGTCTATATTACATTCCAAACAATAAAAGGGATTATAATAGCAACCCTGCAGTTTGCAGAACAGCTAGCGTATGTTTGCCCAGCAGAAGGTTTTTAGACTGTAGAGTGTCGTGTGTAGACACAAGCCTTGGTAAATATAAACCAAGTGAGAAAAAGAAAAGATTTATCAACTGACACCAGTGCTGAGACCATTAAAAATCTCAAGATGATGTTTTCTCAAGATGATGGCCAAGTAAAGTGCACTTAAAATGGTATTCAAGCGTTCACTTGAAATAGGTTGCTCTGTGTGGACCAGTCCTCTGGTGCCTCAGATTTAATGCTGTTGCATTTGTGTTTAAACTCTTTCTTGGCATCACCCTTTGCTTTCTGTTCTGAGCTGGAAGTCGTCTCATTCAAAGGTTAACCCTTTGTCCCAACATTGATAACTGCGCCATTAGCCAATTTTGCCTTGCAGTCTGGGATACTTATAGTAAATTATTTTGCCCTTCTATCTCCCTGTGTATTCCTTTGAGAACCTTATTCAAAATGATATCTTTGACCAAGCAACCAATCATCCATTCTAATTACTCTTTCCTGGCTTGAGTTGTTCTTTCTTCCCTTAGACCTTTATGAAGTGCGTTGGGACATTTTTCTCTGTTAATATAATGTGATACAGTATATAAGTTGTGCTTGTTGCTGGATTATTAAATACAATTCACTGTGTTTTGAGTGAGTTGCTCCCCAGGCACTGACCAAGCTAATTAGACAAGCTTTAGGGAAATTAGGCATGTCATTGGCATGTGTGGCGCAGGAAGCAGAGGCTTGAGAGATGGTCACTGCCCACTTAGCTGTAAATACTCACAGAATAAACAAAAGTAAGATATTCTTTTTGATGTGTTATATAATTTGAATTGTATCTCTTGGATTATAGTGGCACCGAATGCCTACAACTCAGGAGACAGATGGCTTTCAGGTGAAGAGACCAGGAGATGTGAATGTGAAGTGTACCCTGCTATTGATGCTGGACCACCAGGTAAGAATTCCTTACTTCACTGGAACCCAAGCTGCTTTAGGCAGTACATATTAATATCTCCTATGAAGCTGTTCTTGCAATTTTGTTTTCCAATGGCCTACTGTGGAGAGACAATGGCCTAGTGGTTTATCGCTGGACTGCTAACTCAGAGACTCGGGTAATGTTCTGGGGACCTAGGTTAGTGTCTGCCTTGGCAAATGTTGGAATTTGAATTCAATAAATATCTGGACTTAAAAGAGTCTAATGATGACCCTGAAACCATGTTGATTGTTGGGATAAACTCATCTGGTTCACTAATGTCCTTTAGGAAAGGAAACTACCATCCTTACCTGGTCTGGCCTACATATGACTCCAGACCCACAACAATGCGGCTGATTCTCAACTGCCCTCTGGGAGATGAGGGGTGGGCAATAAATGCTGCCTAGCCAGTGACGCCGTCATCCCATGAATGAATAAACAATAAAAAACAGCTATTGCTTAGGAGTCACACCATAATGGTAAGAAAACTATAAGTTGGGAAACACAGTGCACTAACTGAATCACTTAAGTAAAGGCTGAGACAATACTGTTGGTCTACAAGGCTGCAGGATAATAAAGGAAATCTAATCATATTCTTTATAATGAAAATGACATTCCAGCCTAATCAATATAGTGACCAGAACTGTGTTACTCTCATAATTCACCCACCTCAGCTGTTGTACTGTAGAACATACATTTATTTGCCGGTAAAGTGATTTCCTTGACCTGTGTCTGCAGTCACAGCTTTGTCAAAGTGGTGGAAGTTTCATTTCATGTTACATTAGTCAGGAAGTAGCAATAAAATAATCTCTGAAACTGAACAAAATGTGTAGCCTATGGTCGCAAATAAAAATGCCTTCTACTTCAGCCCCCACAGTATAAACTGGATGCCAGGTTGGCACGATTGCTGGGTGTCCACACGCAGACACGGGCAAATATCATGCAGGCACTGTGGCTGTACATCAAGAAGAACAAGCTGCAGGATAGCCATGAAAAAGAATACATCAACTGCAATCGCTACTTCAAACAGGTAAGAAAGACTTTACTCCAACAAGCAGCTTTTACCTGCAGTATGTGTGCAGAGGTCTCTCCCATGATCACCAATGCTGTGAGTTCCTCATCTCAAAATTTGGAGGGAGAACTAATGAGATCACAACGAAATTTCTCCAAGAGGGAAAGCAGATCCAAGCCTCAGAAATGGCAGTTAAGCTGATGTGAACTGAAGCACAGAGGCACTTCTGTCCAGAGTTGGAGAGCAGTCAATGCATGGCATTAACTACATGAAACATGAAGGAAGTACAGAAATAAAAGGCTCCGGATGTTCCATAGTGTTGATCCGGTCTTTGGTATTTTCCAAGTTTTTGTTAGAATAACACAATGTTTTCGTTTCTGTGTTGTTATGCTAAAATCCAATTCTTCTCAAGAATCTATGTACAGCAAGTGTATCCAAAGAACCATGTTAAGGCCTCATGAAGGAAATATTAGTAGGGCTGTGAAGAAAACGCGATGGAATGGATTAATTCGGCATATTGCTAAAGGAAGGTTGTGTTCGACAAATTTGATTGAATTTTTTGAGGAGGTAACCATGGAGTGTTGATGAGGGTAATGCATGTAATGAGTCTTCATGGACTTTAGCAAGACTTTAGATAAGGTAGACATTCACAGCACAGAACAAGGCCAGTCAACCCATCATGTCCACATTGGTCAACAAAGATCTGGCGAAACTCATGCCTGGTCAAGAAAGTGAGACTCCATGGAATCTAAGGAAAAGTTGCATGTTGGCTGAGGCAGGATGTTACTGTAATTGGAAGTGGGCTTCTGCAGGACTTGGTGCTGGGGTCCTTGCTGTTTGTGGTGTATATTAATGATTTGGACTTAAATGTAGGAGGTATGACCAAGAAGTTCGTAGATGACAGTAAAATTAGTAGAGTGCTCAATAGAGAGGAGGATAGATATAAACTTCAGAAGGATATCAATGTACAGCTCAGATATGCAGAGCAATGGGAATAGAATTCAACCCAAACAAGTGTGTCCTCGCGAACTTGGGGAGTGCTAACAAGGCAAGAGATTAAGTGGTAGAAGACTAAGAGGAGAGTTGAGAAGTTTTTTCACTCAGTGAGTGGTGGGAGTTTGGAACTGACTGTCTGAAAGGGTGGTTAAGTGTGAAACTCTCAACATTTAAGCAATGTTTAGATACCCACTTGCATTACCATAGCCTCCAGGGCTATGAGCCAAAAGCTGGAAAAAGGAATTAGTGTGGTCAGATCCTTATTGACCGAAATGGACACAATGGGCCAATTAGCCTTGCTCTGTGTTGTAAACGTCTGTGGCTTTTCCAATGAGCCAGCGTAGGCACAGTGGGCTGTATGAAGCCCTGAATTCAAACAATGTGGATTGGCCATGCTAAATTGCCCCATTGTGTCCAGGGATGTGCAGGTTAATTGGATTAGCCATGGGAAATGTGGGATTATGGATATAAGGTGGGGGGCTTGGGTGGGATGCTGTTCGGAGGATCGGTGCAGACTCAAAAGGGCCAAATGGCCTCTTTCCACACTGTAGGGATTCTATCATTCAAAGCCATTGCAGTCAATCCTATTCTCTTTTGTCAGCCTGAAGATTTTGGAAAAACTTGATGGATAAATCCTCAGTCGGAGCATCATGATCTTTCAGGAGCAGTATCTTAAGATAAATGCTGAATAAAGAATTTTAATGCTCCATGCGTCTCCGCCATCAGTTCCCACCCTTGTGTACACACACAATTCCACCTGCTGGGTACTTGGACATTCCTGTAAGCATCATGACAAAGAAGACAAAGGCATCATTCCATAATAAGCTACCTCCTCAATATGGCTGAATTTCCTTTTTTCACTTTTCTGCTTCCTTTACACTGTTCTCAGAGGGTCTTACACCAGCTGGAACCACAAATCATGCAACGTAATCCAGGACACTTCTAGTGTTACATTTAAATCAGTTAACGTCATCCTTCTGCACAGACTACATGTGCTACCACCTACACAATAAGGCTGAAATTAGGAACTTTGTCTATCGGAAATTAAAGTCAGATTGTTCATTCTGTTCCACAGGATGCTGTTCTTGTGTGAGTCCAACTGGAATAAAATTCACCAGAATGCTCTCGCCTACTGAAATGTCCCGTATGTCCCCCTCCCTAAATACACCCAGACCTCCCCACATAAGCGACATTGTTAGTGTATTCTGTACCAATGTTGTCAGCCTGAACTGATTGTAAAAGAAACGGCTGAAAATTGAAGTACTTTTCCGTTGGTGTTTACAGTTAAGAGTCACGTGTGGAGAGTCTGTATGCCTCTGCAAGTTGCAGTATATGTCAGGATATATTTTTGTTCATTTTTCTCGTATCACCAAGAACTGCAGTAGCCAAAACCAACATTTTTGATCTACCAGTGTCACCAATTTCCAGTGTTTGCCAATTAACAGTGTTTGTTGTGATATTTACTTGAGTTGTTGCTTTATGCTGCATTAGGTTATTTTGGACAGTTATATTTTATTTGTAATTGGATCAGTCCATCTGAAGTCGAACCACTTAAGCACAATTTCAACATGGGAATCCATGTGAACCCTTCATTAAGGAGTCCCAGGTCAGTCGTAAACATGGAACCCTTAATAACCTAGTCATCAATAAAGTTGAGATTTGTGCTGAGAGGCACAACAGTTATAGTTGTCTTTTACTGTATCTCCTTCGTTAACAGTGAATCTGTTTTCGTAGATCTTTAACTGCATGCGAATGAAATTCTCTGAAATTCCGATAAAGTTGGCTGGTCTCCTGCAGCACCCAGATCCCATCATTATTAATCACATGATTAGGTAAGTGAAGGGGGTGTCGATAATCTGATTGTCACGCTCAGGGCTGTGACAATTATTTGACTCAACAACAACGTGAGTAGTAAATATTTAGACCAATGCTGGACATTGTTTTAAAGGTCACACAGCACTTGACAGACTTATTTTGTAACTTTATTCTCATTGAAAACGACCACCAACCTCCTGACCTTGCGCCTAATATAAAAATACATCATTCAGTTTAAAGAAAGAGCTCGTTGCTGAGAGTAAAGCAGATCTGCCACATAGATCAGTGACCCCTGCAAAGAAGTCAGTGAAGGATCACAGTGAGGCCTTCAATCCACAAAGAATCAATGAAAAAGGCAATGAAACCCATGCCTAATGGTCAAAGAAAACTGGTAGAATATAACTCAATGGGCAAAGTTGCTGATAATTGTGCTAAAGCTTCATTGGCTGGAATTATTCGTGAGGTTTTCAGGTTGCTGAAACTCACCCAGTACATTGTACACCAAATTTGATAAAGTCTATTCTCCCTGTATACATCTGCTCCAATTAGTTGTATTGGTACTGTGCACAATCACATCAGACTATGGATTTAGCTACATAGACGTGGTATGTTCTGGAATGGGATGACTGGCAGTGATTTACAAGTAGAAATTCTATTAAGAGGTTCCTATAGTATCACAAACTGGAAAAGTATTCACTTATAGCCTATACTGTGAATGTGTGCTGTTGTTTGAATGTGACTGGGTGTAGTAGCAGACTGTTAGTGATTGGATACAGCAATAGAATCTCTATTTAAAAATTGGGTACGGTAATATAGAGGCTGAATATTATATAATTCTATCTTACAGCTGATACAGTAAGCAAGGGTTTATACAACCTATGTTTGTGACATTTTGCAGTAATTTAGATGTTGTATTAGTGACCAAGTACAATGATTCAGAGTATTATGTTAATGAATCTCCTCTAATCGGTTGACACAGTGTGGATCCTAATGATCAGAAGAAAACTGCATGTTATGACATTGATGTTGAAGTTGATGACCCTTTGAAGAGTCAGATGAACAACTTCCTCCTTTCAACAACCAACCAGCAGGAAATCGCAGTGTTGGATATTAAGGTAAGCAAATATAAGATAAAGGAATATGAATTTCTTTTCCATTTCTATTTTCTGAGGCTATATAAGACAGTAAGAAGTACAAACAGGATTAGGCCATTTGGCCCCTCAAGCCTGCTCACCATTCAATAGGATCATAGCTGAAACTTAATTCTCCAAATCTACTTTCCTGCATTTCCCTGCAATCCTTGGCTTCCCGACTGATCAATAACCTATCTGACTCCGTCTGGTTATACAGAAGCACTATGGCCCTGCAGCTCTCTCAGGCAACGAATTCCAAAAACACTCAGCCCTTTGAGAAAAGAAATTCCTCCTTATCTCAGTCTTAACTTGGTGGCCCCTTTATTCTGAGGCTATGGAATCTGGTCCTAGACCCGCCTATGAGAGATAATATCCTCTTTGCATTTACCCTGTCAAGCCCTTAAGAATCCAGTATGCTTTGATGAGGTCACCTCTCATTCTTATAAACTCCCGCAGGTAAGAGTCCCGGCCTGTTTAGCCGTTGCTCATAAGACAATCCTTCATTCCAGTGATCATCCTAGTGAACTTCCTCTGAAATGGGACTAATTTAGCTTAGGAAACTTAGGTTGTTTGCATACTGTACGGATCTTTGACTTTAATTGCCTTCAATGAAATTACGTTGTTCCTTAAATAAGGGGACTAAAACTGCTCACAGTATTCCAGTTGTGGTCTCACCAAAGTTGCAGTAAGAATTCCCTATTCTTATACTCCAACCTGCTTGAAATAAGGCCCAGATATTTTAGATACTAAGCCTTCAAGTTGACCAAGATGGGGTCTTCAACTGCAACACCAGAGGCAGAGGAGACAAACGGGGTTGCGGTGGGGCAGAGACAGAATGCCAGCTTGGTGAAGGAGTCAGTGTACAAAAGGAACAGCTCCCTGAGGGACTATTAGTGTGGTCTGATTAACAACATATTTTCTGTTTAGCAGTCATGGAAGAGGCTACATGGAAATTGGAGGTTAGCAGTAATGGCTGTCCTAACAATAAATAACAAAAGAATTCCACTGAGGGTTTGAACACTGCCTAAAGCCAGGGTCAGCTTACACTGTTCATTTCCTGAGCCCTTTGAAAAACTTTGGGACATCATCTATGACATATTTTCCATTACTTCATCAAAATGTATTTTGCAAAATCTCTGAGGATTTCTCTTAAGTGAGTGTCGTGCTACTTTGCTTTAAGTGTAAGAGGAATTGGAGAAAAGGGAGTCCTTAGTGTTGGGCATCTTGTTGGGTTCCCCCTTAGTTCGGATGAGGAACGCGAGAAAGACGTGAGGTCTGGAGGTTTTGAGGCAGCAAATGCAGAAAAGAGGGAATGAAGAGCTAACAGAACTTCTGCCCCCTTGTGGCTCCAACACATCCCTTCTCTTTCATGACCTTCAGTGCCACATCCAAGAGCGTGAGCATCCTCTGTCTTTGTTCCTGAGCCATCCTGAAAAGTGTTGCAGTGTATTTCAGCGGCAGAAGGCACATGGAGCTAGTACCTGATGTAACAGTTCCGGGCAAGTTCAAACCATATTCATCAGTCACTTAAAAGCTACAGGCTAAAATCAGACTTTCAAACAGGCGTTTTATTAGCACAGACCCAATTTGTGCTTGTTTTTAACTTTTCATCAAAACAAACCCCTATGAGTCCCAAAATTCTATCTAATCAGTCTCTGAAATCAGTTGCTGTGGAAAAGCTCAAATCAGTCCATGACGTTCATTGGATTCCAGGCTCTTAATTTATGACTTGGAAACTAGTACAAATTGAGGTATCGCAGGATAAACAGAACACATCTTTGTCTAAGACTTAGCTTGATATGATGCTACTTAATTCTGTCATTAAAGTGTTACAGTCGCTGAAATAATCCCTTGAGTGGAAACATTTGTGAGTTGGTCTAAAGTCAGGTGACTAAGGGAAGAGTTCTAAGTATTCTGTGTGACAGGGTCAAAAATTGGAAGTTCTTTTTGAATGTTGACACATAACTATTTAAATTCGGCTTGGTTCCCTTCACCATTTTATAATATTTATTTGCCTGGATTTTGTAGTTGATGGGAAAAGCAACAAGGATTAATATGTGCAAAAATTGATTGTAGCAAAGTTTTGGCATATTATTTCTGAAACCATTTCAGCTGTTTACTGCCTAAATGTATTAATTCCTTCCCTAAATCCCTCTACTTCTCTATGTCCTATTTTTTTAAGATGCTTCTTTAAAATTTATCTTTTTCTCCAAACGTTTGGTCACCTGCCCTAACATCTGCTTATGTGGTTCAGTGTTTGATAATATTCATCTGAAGGAATATTTTGCTACATTAAAGACACTAAGTACAAGTTGTTATCTTACTATTACAAACACATATTAACCGACCTGACCAATATTGTGAAATTTATAATAAAAACAGAAGATACTCAAAAATATCAGCAGGTAAGGCTGCAGTTTTTATCTCTGATTTCCAGCATCTGCAGTATTCTGCTTTTCATTTATTGTGAAATTTATGCTGAGCTATTGCTCGTGTTCCTAGTTCCATTGCGATTTAATTTTTTTAGCTTTGCAGTTATAACCTTAAAAAAATGAGTATTTAGATAATGCTTTTCAGGATCACTGGACATCTCAACACACAAAGGGAGCAATGTATTTAAGGTGAGGGGGGAAAGTTCAAAGGAGATGTGAGGAGCAGGTTTTTTTACACAGAGAGTGGTATGCGTCTGGAACGCACTGCCAGGGATGGTGTTGGAGGCAGATATGATAGGGGAGTTTAAGGGGCTTTTAGATAAGCACATGAATATGCAAGGAATGGAGGGATATGGACCAAGGGCAGGCAGAAGGCATTAGTTTAATTTGGTGACATGTTCGACACAATATCATGGGCCAAAGGCCCATTGCTGTGCTGTACTATGTCATGGGACGTAGGTGTCGCTGGCTACACCAACATATATTACCCATCCCTAGTTGCCCTTGGTGAGCTAGAGTCATAGAGCACAGACACAGACTCTTCAGCCCAACTCGTCCATGCTGACCAAGTTTCCCAAACTAAATTAATTCCACTTGCCTGCATTTGGCCCATAACCCTCTAAACTTTTCCTATTCGTGTACTTGCCCAAACATCTTTTAAATGTTGTAACTGTACCTGCACCCACCACTTCCTCTGGCAGTTCATTCCACATAGGAACCACCCTCTGCGTGGGGGAAAGAAATTGCCCCTCAGGTCCCTTTTAAATCTTTCTCCTCTCACCTTAAAAATATGCTTACTCCCCACTCTAGGGAAAAGACCTTTGCTAGTCACCTTATCTATGCCCCTCATGATTTTTATTAACTTCTATAAGGCCACCCCTCAACATGCTACACTCCAGTGAGAAAGTCCCAGTCGGTCCAGCCTCTCCTGTAACTCAAACCTTCTAGTCTTGGCAACCTCCTGGTAAATCTTTTCTGAACTCTCTCCAATTTAATAATATCCTTCCTAAAGCAGGGTGACCAGAACTGTACACAGTACTGCAGAAGAGACATCACCGACGTCCTGTACAGCATCAACATGACGTCCCATGTGCTGTATGTAGACCCACAATGCTGTTAGGGAGGGTATTCCAGGATGTTGACCCAATGACATTGAAGGAACAGCGATATATTTGCAACTCGGGATCATGAGTGGCTTGGAGGAGAACTTGCAGATGGTGATGTTCCCAAGTATCTGCTGCCTTTATCCTTCTATATGGGAGTGGTCATGGGTTTGGAAAGTGCTGTCTAAAGGTACTTGGTGAACTTTTTGAAAGAGTTGATTGATTGATTAATAAACCGTTACAACATTCAGCCTCATCACCCTCAGGTAATTAGTGATCAATGTGCTGTTATTGTACATTTATTATATACTGTATGACAAGTCGCTGGCACCTGCCTCAGTGGTTAGCACTGCTGCCTCACAGCACCAGGGACCTGGGTTCAATTCCAACCTCGGGCAACTGTGTGGAGTTTGCACATTCTCCCCATGTCTGCGTAGGTTTCCTCCAGGTACTCAGGTTTCCTCCCAAGATCCAAAGATGTGCAGGTTAGGTGGATTGGCTGTGCTAAATTGCCCATAGTGCCCAGGGATGTGTAGGCTAGGTGGGTTAGCCACAGGAAATGCAGGGATACAGGGATAGTGTAGAGGGTGGGTCTGGGTGGGATCCTCTTCAGAGGGTCGGTGTGGACTCGATAGGCCAAATGGCCTGCTCCCATACTCTAGGGATTCTGAGTCTTGCTGATTAACTCAACACACTGTACTCTCCCTTTAGAGACATAGATTGCTCAAATACCTTTTGTCTTGGTTATTTAGTCAGCCTACTTAAGTATATAAAAGAGTCATAGAATCATACAGCATGAAAACAGACCCTTCACTTCCAAATATTTTAAAGTGCATAGCATTGTATTTGAAAACTTACCATTGTCTATGGTTGGCCAGCAGCTCCTGAGTCTTAATTAGTTGTCAACAATAAAATGTGGGGCAGGTCTCATCACCTCTCCACATATTTCCACAGTACATCAGGACCTGTACACTAATGGTAAAATCCTAGCCGAAATGAAAGTAACTGAAAATGACTGTGTTTTTACAAAAAGCAATTGTACAAAACCATCTCATAGTTACATTGGTCAAACTTGCATCGGTTCAACTTGCACTGAAAAGCTTTTAGGGCTCGTCTGTTTGCATCCGTGTGGTTCAAAGAAACAGCTTAATTTTTTGCGAGCCTCCTTGAAGGTCCAGAAATTAGCAGAAATGGTGATTAATTCAGTCTGTAGCGGGGGTGGTTCCCAAGGTAGGGACCAATTCTGTTGCACAATTTTGTAAACTGGTGCCAAAATATATTGTATCTCCTGTGGACATTGTTTGTTTGTGCTGGAAATTCAGCAAATGGTTCTGGTTAATTTTTGGGTGAATTGTATTGAAAAACACCACTTTTGTAAAACAAAATAATGCAGATGCTGGAAATGTGAAATAAAAGAAACTGCTGGAGAAAGCAGATCTGGCAGCAT